GGTAGGGGGGCGCATTGAGGAACCAGGCCTTGGGGCAGCAAAAAGAGTAAGTCCTCTTTGGGCCTGCCTGAAATGAATTGAACAGATTGCAAAACAGACCTCACATTACATCATTTTAGTAAATCTAGAAGAGGATTTTAGAGAGATTGTAAAATCAGATTATGTTTCAATGTACTGAAACCTCCGCCCCCCCATGTAATTTTCTGCAGGCAGCCTGTAGTGGGTGGAGTCTGCTGTGTCCCTCCCTAGGTGATAACTAGATTTGCAAAGGCTTTTAGAGCACACAAATTGGATGTATATCCTTTGTGACCATTGAGAAATATACTGTATTTAAATTAAAGTTGTTTTTTTTCCCCTGAAGTTCATCTTAGATCTTTATAAATAAGACCATTGGAAATCAGTAAGTTTCTACAAGCGGCTGTAATACGGTTGTTCCTATGGGGAAGACAGACATGTATTTACCACAGATGTTTAGAAGCCAGCCCCAAACATCATGTTTTAGAAACACACTGGATGTTGTGGAAGCTGAAGGTGCCTTTAGATTTAAATGACAGTCTCCTGATCTGACCTTAAAGCAGGGGTGGGCAAACCCAAGCCCAAGGTGAAACTACAAATTCCATGATACATCTGTCTGTGGGAATCCTGACTGTGGCTGTGAGAATCTAGCAATGCCTCATGGGATTTGTAGTTCAACAACAGCTGGAGGGCCGAAGTTTGCTTACCCTTGACCATTAGTGTAGTGTCTAACTATCCTAAATGAGCATTTTTATTGTACAAAAACAATTGGTTTGAAAATCTTCCCAGTCTTTACTCTCCTCCCTGGTGTTGGGTAGGGATGGGCTCAGGTTCACACTGAACCTGAGCTCCTTCGAACACACATGTACCATGGGCACTTTCACCCAGTCAGCTGTGGGCACAGGCATTCCCCTCCCTGCAGCTGAACATAAAGAGGCAGAATTCTTGTGCTGATGTCATTGACCTTATATGGCCCACATTGCTATATTAGGTTAGTTTCATAAACCAAATATAGCCATGTGACCATATAAGGTCAATTACATCACTGCATCACACCCCTTTACGTACGCCTAGCTGTGAGTTGGGAATTACCCGGCTGCAACTAATTGGGCAGCAGTGGAAGGAGCTAGCTCACATGTTTGAGCTCATGCCTAGTGGTGGCACTGTCTCAGGACCTCCAAGGCATCTAACTCCATAAGGCATACAATACTCTGCTCCTGCACTTCTCTTTGGGGCTTTTATGTAAAAAGT